ATTTTAATAATAATTAACGTAAATCAAATTGGTATCAACTAACCCTAAATTTAGATGTATTCAAATAAGCCATTACAAGTCCGAATTTCGTAAGACGGTAATTAATTTACAATTATGTACGAAGGGCTGCACAAAGTCCTATTAAATTAAATGTTTCAAAGAATCCATTCTGCTGTTAATAGCAATTTTAGTTTTGAAAAAAATAATTATAATGGATCATTAAAATAACTAATCGGAAGAACTGTTACAAGATAAATTGTATTATAATATTAGCAAGATTTCAAAGTAATTATTATTGCAGTTTATAACTGGATAAAGTGCAAACATGAAAATTTAATATAAAATGTATAAGATATTAATTATTTAATTCAATATTAATAATAATTAACACTCTTGGTGTATTCTTTGAAAATATATATTGCAATAATTAAACATATGTATTAACAATTTATATTATCGTTAAAATACTCACGTGAGTATTAAAAGAAGTGTTGATCGCAATTGAATCAATACCAAGCATTTAACCGTACTTCTTCCAGTCTTGTTTTATAACAAGTAAAGTATACAACAATTAATGTGCACCACGTTGGGCGCCAACTAAAGGATGGCTTCGCGGCGGATTTCATTCGGTCCACTGTAGAACTTTAATCACCCTAAATTAAACTCAAGTTGTTTGTACGTGACCAACCCAACCCCCTCTATCCTTTGACACTATCTTAGACCGAGAAAATTACTAGTTTCGTTCCAACATTCCCAAGTTCAAGCAAATTGATTCTGAGGTCACTTTAAGAAAGTTAAATTGGACCAAGATTATATAGTCAACTTATTGTTTTGATACTTCAAATACACCCGAAAATAAATTGAGACCTTGTGTGAACGTTATATATGAAGGCAGTTGAAGACAGTAATTTTACGCATTATATATCCCGTCCCAGATATAAGTTATACGCATTCATCTTGCGACTTACGTGAGTATTTGTATTCCTTATTTATAATTTATATTTGTTCATGTTTTTCACTCGAATAACGAGAGTTTTGACTATTATATCATATATGATTTGGTTTAAAAAAACCAAATTCGTTTTTAAATAATACTACAACTAACATTTAACTGCCACGAAACTTCCTAGTTAAAATACGTTTTATCTCAGAGTTCAGTTGATAGTGTTATGATGCAACACTAAATTGTTCAAAACTTGGAAGTATTTGAATTTCTCCCTTAAACAACCCCCATACGAAATCAGACGAGCGTGACAGAGGGCAATGATACATATTTATCTAGCGATATTTATGGCCAACCTGAAAAACTACCGCGATTTTCTTTCTTTCCATATTTAAAGTTGGGATGTTTTATGTGTATCGATTGGCGAATGGCGCGTGAATGGATAACAGAGATAGCCATGAATAAAACAATAACTATCTTGTCAGTGCCTTTTATTTACGGCTTTAAGAAAGCTGAGGTAGTATTTCCTGTTTTAAATATATAGACTATTTCTTATTCAATCTATAACTCTACTATTAAAAGTTCGCTTGAAGTGTAAAAGTTATGTAAAACGATTCAAAATTTATTGTAAATTTGGCATGTTGATGCGCTGGACTAACAAGGGTCTATCTCCTCATCCACTTGAGCCCGGACGACAAACAAATTTGTCGTGACGAGATATTATCAGAAAACCTAGAACCCTCGATGCCTCTTGATCAAGTGACGCGTTTATCAAAAATGGAAAAGGGTATTCCGGGTAAAAATGTGAGCCCTTAAAAGGTAAGCCCTTCGCTATATTTTTATCGAACATTACTAAGTTGACTCCATAATAGTATATTTCAGTTTCGTTTTATTTTAGATTTTTATACGATATAAAATTAAATAAATTCAAAAATTTACCATCAATTGAAGTAAAAATAACGATTACAATATTGCTATAGAACATTATCAGAGTATTCTGAACAAAGTTTTAAATGTATTGAATTCAATGTTCAACAGCGAATGTTCTGTTTAAGCGTAACAACCTGACAGGAAGCAGGTGGACAGCTGAGGGTCGATGAATTACCTCGAGGACAGATGTGGAGCGACACAACCAACGACTTTTTAATGCCAGCCCCAGTTCCATATAAGATTACGTGTGGGAATTATGGGGCCGAGTTTGCGAAGTTAACGGCAGCTTACCCAAATATAAATACACAAAACAACAAAACCCAAACAATTTTTTTAAGCGAAAATATTTATTATTTTTCGTACAATATTGTGTCCTATCTAAAGTTTTATAAACATAGTGCAACTATTTATTGTATTTGAGTCTCATAAATACTATTAAATTAGTTCACTAGTGTAATAAACTAGTGTATTAAAGGCAAGCCTCTCTGGAAACATTACGAATACTGAAACAAGCTCTTTTCAAATATATCATTCTAAAAATTCAGTTATTACAACAATTATACACAATGATAATGGTGAAAGAAAATAAATCCATACCAGATATCTATAATAAATTGAAGCAAAACAATGCGTAAAGCAAAATGTATGTTGAGATAACACATAAAAAAAAATTGTCTTTACAACTTATATTGCAAATAAATCACAAAAATAGCGCCTGAGAAATTCGCATAAGATGGCCCTTGAATTACCAATGCTTGTAACATTCAACAAACTCTAAATCTAAAGATAACGTCCTTCACGACGTGGGAGGGCCATCAAAATCCCTTTCTATGTTTAAAATAAAAATTTTATCATAAGAAAGGTGTTATTTTATGTTCTCTTTTATAACCTCCATAGATGCATTTATCGCGTTTTATAAAATCATAATCAGGTTTCGCATTTCCGCACTTCCCTTTATGGCAATACTTATTGCTAAGCCACGAGAAATGCCAGTTAATTTTAATATAAACTTGTATATTAAGGATCGTATCTGCGAAAGGTTTCATTAGCCTTGTTTTATCACCGAGTATACAGAAAATACTTGGCATAAAATCGTTTTATAAAATTGTTACAAGTTCGGTTATCTAATTCGATATATTTTCAAAGAAGCTCTGAAGCATTTTGCGGTGAAAGAACTCCACGAGGGGCAGCTTGAATCAAATGATGTAAATTAAATCTGGACCGTGGTCAGAATCCCAGGCGATTTAAAAAGTCGTGAATTTAAGTTAACAGATCTGTGTTCATTTCCACCAGTTGATATCCGATTCGACTCAATCAGATAGTATTATGAAGTTTTAAGTCATTTTGCTACGTGCACACAATTTATATATCGACGAATATTAAAAAAGATAGTTAAATTCCTTGAAACGCTTTGTGAAATTATTCTTCAAATATCCTAATATAATATCAATACTTTTTAACAAAGGTAGATTACTATATTTATACCTATATTTTTATACGAAACAAAAACAGAAGCTTATTACTATGGAGTCCATAAATCTGGACAATAAATCACATAACTATTACGCCAATTACGCTGCGGTCAGCGGCCCCTAATCCTTGGCCCAAGTCGGTAGAAATAGGGCCAAGGAGTGACCCTTACTATGAACTATATTTCAAATTGATTTATATATTATTAAGCAAATCAAAGATATGCTGCCAAAGATGTTCTAGCAAATCTCTTGACATTATAAGATAAAAAGACATTTCCAATATGTGTTACATCTCCCAATTAAGTAAGATTTATGTAACATATTGTGAAAGCTAATATATCTACATTAACAATGAAATAATGTTTCAGTATTATATATTCGTTATTTACTATATATTTGTATAAAAACAAAAATATTATATAACAGCGTCCAACCTTATATCAAAACTTTGCTGTACTATTATAAAGACCAACGTCTCAGTTCCTTAGAGTTAGTTCCATTATTAGTTCTAAGCAAGTATTTTCTAATAATTTATTGAATGGACGTGGTTACAATCAGAACCATTAAAGTCCTTGATGGCAAACTTGAGAACAGTTCCTTTATGTCTTTATTTCATTAACCAAGATACCTACTGTGGTTGTTTAGGCCGGAAATTATTTAACGTAATCTAAGTAACTATTATCAGGACGGTTTATAATTCATATAAGAATATCCATAATTGATTTTTAGAAGCTCCCACAGGATGAAGTCATCAAATATTAAATATTTGTTTACGTATTACCTTAGACTAAATGTAACAATATAATCGACTAAAATGTTTACTTTTTTAATATAAATTCATCAAATAATAAGTAACTATCACTTATATAATGCTTATGGTTACCGCTTTATTTATCTAATCATAGACTCAACACCCACTATGGTGATTAAAAAAAGTATGATGTTCAACCCTAACGCATCATTAATCAAATTTTAAATAAACTCGCGTCGTCATAGCAAAGCGAACTTTATGATAATGCTTTTAGATCCACATCAGATTGTGTGTTCAAACACGCTTTATTGATACTTTTTGTCGGCACTCGAAAAGAAAGTGCTCCTCCTTTATTAACTATAATACGTTCTGCTACAAGTTATAACGCGCACGACTGGCCTGGTTTACTTGATATTGATCTTAGGAAGCCCGCTATGAAAGATGAACAGAATTCATAGGAAAGGGACCAAATCAAAGCCATTATTGTTTGCATATGACAAGTAGAGCGGTGATTTGAATGCTTGTTCTTACATCATACAGACACTTATTATATAGGAAGCATTGATTTGTGAAGTTTTCTGAAAAGGGGTGACGTTTTGCAACTTGAATAAATTGTTAACACACTAGTTATATGTAAGCAATTATTATATTTTGGCGTTAAATTTATATAGCATTAACCGCAATCTTTTTGACGTATTATTATAGGAGACATATTTACGTATAAATCAATGTTAATCGGAAGCTATCGATGCACAAATGAGTATAATTTTCCATGATCGACTCATTTCACAGTCACCCCAAATTGCTGTCATTATAACCTATATAACGGTATCTACATAATGGTAGACCGTAACCAGAGGCAGAGCACTCTCAGTTACTTTACAGACTCTGTTAATTTTATTGACTAAAAAACGCGTTTAGCCCTCTTTATGGGGGATCTTGCGAGCGATTTTTCATCTCGTCTACGTTTCTTTACGGGCACCACGCATTTCATAGAACTTCCTATAACTATTCTCTCCATAACCCTATATTGCTTCTCAGAGAAAGGCCTCAACACCGCGAAACTTATACCCATAGCTTTTCCTTTAAGTAAATCTTCTTTTAAAAGCAGATTATCATATAGACGAGTTTTAATAAACTTCAAAAGATGATCAATCTCAGCATTTGGAAGTTTGAACAGCGCAGCGATAGCTATCTTATCGTAATCTTCCGAATCTCTCTGCTCGACTTGCAGTTTGATCTCCTTTTCAGCCGGGTAAATTATTTCCTGCAGTTGGAATCGATTCGGCCCGGCTCCGACCATCAGCGCGCATCTGAAGTTAGACTGCTTGACAACGACCCCGTTAAGCCAATCGGAATTACGTTCGAGGGCCTCGAGAAAAAAGCTCATAAAGTCACTAACTTCCTTTTGCTTTTTGTAGGAGGCGATAGCGGCGACGGCCACTTCGGGCAGCCCGTCCTTAGCTCTCGGTGAGGAGGAGCCCGGCTCGTGTCCAGACTTAATTGGACTTTTTTTACTGAACATTCTGTATCCTCGCTTCAACAAATTTAGAACATTGTTTACTAGGTTTTCGGCACGGAATAATTTTTTACAAGAAATTTTGATGTTTCCAAATAAAAATGTTATGAATAATGTTTGGTTGATGTTGTCAGTATATTTTTTTATATGTACAGCAAAAAGTTTAAATGTTTCTGAAAATTTAACTGTATAGTATGAAGGTTGAACAATAATTATATTCTCCTTGAGGTAAGTACGAATATTTTTATAACTAGTCAGAAGTTGTCAGAAAAGTTACTAGTCTACCTCAGTTTAACCTGCCTCGGTTAATTAAAAAAAATTGGACATTCATAATTTCGAAAATTTGTGACGTTTTGTTACAACATTTAAGGCGACTAAAATTAGATTAAATTTAAAGCACAGGTTATAAATATAGATGGTAGATTATAAAAATGGAACGCGACTAATAATAATTTACAAAAAAAATATTCCGCTTATAATGCATAAATTTTTATTATAATTCTTTTATATTTTCCCTATTATTATTTACTATCATAACGAAAGCATCGTCCTTTAACTTAAGATTTATGAATATGCTTATGAAGGTGCCAAGTATTTCCATCCTATATTGTGTATATTTTACAAAAAATGTAATTAAAGCATCCAACTTTGTACTCGGAAAGGTTTAAATAAGTAATAACTTATCATACATTTATTAAAGTATAATCTGTGTAATTATTACGACTTAATGCAAATCTTGTCAATTGACATTTGCGTAGAATCAAACAGTCGAAGGTCCTATTAGAGGTTTTAGAAACCTGTTTTATCTCGATAAAAAAAGCGTGATAAACAATATGACGTAATAATTAAAAAATTTCGTTACTAATGTTACTTTTAAATCGTATGATATTCATAAAAAGGCCCAACGCTTTATACCTCCGTGTTAATAATAATAATAATAATAATTTCTTTATTTGTGCAACATAGGCCCACTTGTTAGTATTTTTACTTATAAAACTATGTTAGTCTAATAATAATGTCTAAATTAACATAAAATTAATGTTTTATTTAACTGCACAATCTGATAAGGTTATATAAATTAATATTAAAATGCGTAAAATATTAATAATACAAATAACATTTCGCTGGCCTAAATTGTGAATACCATTTTAAAACAATAAATAAACTTCATCTGTTTATTTTACAAATTATATTGAAAGTTATTCGTGGCTAACGGATATTGTTTAATATGTAAAACAATTTTTGGACACAGTTTAACATCCAAATAAAAAAGTAGATGCTTTAAAATTATAAGAATCTAGTAGCTATATCTTTTTTTTTTGATAATTTTGAAATATATATGAAATGTTTTGAAGACTTAACCTAATTCATAGACACCTTTAATAAAGTTACTTAAGTATTCAATAGATAAAAAGTCTCATTTCAGTGCAACTTTACAAGAAGTAATCGTTTACTGTTGGGTAACAAAGTCCTAAAGGCCTATGACTATAGGGTTCCAAATGAAGGCGTGAGTGTCACGACTCTCAGAGGTTAGGTTTATAATTCAAAACAATATTTAAACTTACCCAAACGAGCATTCTCATAGAATATACCGTTACAAGATTCGCTTGAACAATCAACGGCAATGCTGTCACGATGAATACACACGCACACATGCAAAAATCGTAGTAAACGTCATAACCAGAGTTAACAACGTTAATTAAAGCATTTAACACAGTTTTTAACCATTGCCACCAATACAGGACACAGTTAACAACTTTATGAGTTAGAATTGAGAAACACAAGTCACAAAATCAACTTGAACCATATAAAAAACATAAATTTTTGCCAAAGACAGCCTAATCACCACTCCTTTTCTCTCACAGATTTCTATGATAGCGAACAGCTGCGGTGCGTGGTTGAACCAAAACAAATACCTCTCGAGGCATCTCTCGGCCTTGATGTTAAACAATAAAAATGGAAACAAAGATAGCTTTTCAGTTAAGACATTATCTTTCGATAGATGGCGCTCCCTCTAAAGGATAATAATACATAATACCGAGTTATAAGCTCATTACATGTGTAAATCTCAACAAAATAAAATATATTTTATGCGAATATAAATTACATAAAATTAAATGGTCAGACAAATAAACTATACAAGTTTGTTTAAGAAATTACTAACATTTTGCACAGATGGCGTTGTTTTTACTTTTTGGAATCAAACTCAAGGTTAACAATTTATCCAAAAATCACAAAAAAAATGAATGAAATAATAATGTAAAGTACGATTATCATTGTATAACATTAGGCAGTAAAAACATTATTATCTCATTCTAGTAACTAATTCTGAAATAAAAATAAATTATTTAAACATATTTTATTTCAGTTTAGAATTAAAATTTTTGTAAATGCGATAAAGACATTCTTTGTTTCTAAATAGAGCAAAAATAAAAAAATATAATCTCCGCCATGACAGTGTATCACACTGCCGTGACCAGGATTCGAACCTGGGTTACTACGGCCACAACGTAGGGTCCTAACCACTAGACGATCACGGCTATCGGAGTACTGACTGACATTTTGAAATAGTCAGCAAGTACTTAATAGCAATAAACATAAAACAAATCTTTTATTATTTTCATTTGAAATATATTTTTTGGATTTTAAATAACTATGAAAAGAAAAAATACATACTAAGTTTATTTTTTATCATCCTCGTTTGATTATTTTTGAACTCTTTCTTTTCGTCCTTTTTCTTACATAATACATATATGTATACTTATTTCTGTTAAAAACGAGCAAGGATATGTTAATAAAAAAAGTCATCTTGTGGCAAGTTCACCTTAGGTCTTAAATGATTAGTACTGACATATTTGGTAATCCTGAAAATTGTGTTTATTAAGCACCTACTTAGATTATGACTTAAATGAATAAGGTAATGTTTCTACCAACTCGTTTTTAATAGAGGTTATCAATATAGGTATAATTAACAGGAATCTTTTTAAGGACTTGATCTACATTCTAGGCGGTTGTAAAATATTTAAGTACTTATTTGTTAGCAATAACCTAATTTGTCTGTTATCAGTATGTTTAGGTCAAGTGTACATCGTCACGCTACGCATCAAGCGATACGAGTGTCTTATTCAATAATTCATTTTAATACGAGTATTTTTAAATGCACATATGTACTAAAACTTTTTTAAGTAGAGAAATAATAAATTAAATTCATTAATGAACTTTTGGAATCTTGCCAATAGATTCTAACTGTTGAACTCTACTTAATTAATCTTGTAAATTATGAAATGAATAAATATTTTGTAATTAATGACCAGTCTTGTTATATACTCAGTGTTACAATAACAATTAACAAAACATAATATTTCTTTGTATTTCTTAAAACCATCTTCACGCGATACAAAATGGACTGAGATAATTTATTTAGAGTTTTTATTGCTTTATAAAACTTTCAATATATTTTACATTTTCTCTTTTCATAAATGAATTTTGTACACACTTTATTATTATTAGGAACATATACTAGTACTACTACTACTACATACTACTACTACTACTACTACTACTACTAGTGTTGTAACGTTTCATTGATGGAAGAGTATTGCAATTGTTAATTAAAACAATGCTTGCATTGTAAAAGATATAATAACTGCCAATTTTAATCCGCTTATACTGAAACTTAAATCTTTCTTACTTTTATTCATTGAACAAACAGTTTCAACTTAAAAATCAAACGTATATCAATGAAATTTATATCAATGAATTTGCTGCGCTTGGAGCGTTTATAAGTTGCAATTAAAAGTAGGTAGAGGGCAGCGGCCAGAGACGCGTCATTAGATGGGGGATTACTTTTATGGTTTTTGTGCATTTTATTATTATAAAAATGTGTACAAAGATAAACAAAGGGATATATTTGCGGAGGCGATATTAGTGGACTTTAAAAGTCGTTTCTTTGTATTTTCAGAAAAACAAATTATTTTTTATTTCGAAAATCTTCAGTAACCTAAGTACTTTATATTTTTATTTATTTAAAAGATCTTTCCTTATTCGTTATGTTGTCATTGGAATTGTATGTCTGGTAACGCCAATGGCGCAAAGAGTAGAAAAGGAAAGAATTGACTTATCGTAACAAATATGCAAGACCCGCTGGTTAATGCACCTCAGCTATTTAACAGATTCTTATCAAGTATTCTACATTCTGCACCAAATATTGTAATGTGTACCTATAGTATGCTAGATTATTGTCAGAATGATTTTCTGGTTATGGTGGTAGTTTTAGCTGGAGGTTCAAACTTTACACACACGAAAATAACAAGTCACAGCAACTTTATAAGGGTAGGTATCAAGATGCTTACTAAAACAAAATTTAAATTTATGGACTTCGTAATATTATTTTATTTATAACTTATTTACACTTAAAAAAACCGTCAACTTTGAATGATATGTTTTTTAGCTCCATTGGAGCCATCTTCTTTATTGAAATTATTATTATTTTTAATTTCAATATCAGGGGTTAGTCTCGGTATGAACTTTATGATAAAGGATGCCAATGTGCACACGACCTACCTAAAGGAGGTAGCTACCGTCACCAATGGACTTTCGGAACATAGTTTTGCGAACGCGTTGCCATTCTTGGTTGGGGAAGAGGCAGAGGAAAGTGGGGAGAATGGAAAGGGTGGAAACAGGGAAAGGCAACCGGCTCTATCATTCATCGGACGAAAAATAGGCAATTAAGACTACTTCACGCCGTTCTTATGTGAGAGGATGGTAGGTACTTCTCCGGTGGAGCCAGCCCATGTTCGAGCTATAGTAACTTGACAAAGAACCTGTCGTTTATCAAACCTAATGTAGTGCCCTAGTTTCTTTTATATGATTAATGGCATATTTTTTGATATAATTAGGCTAGCCACCTGATGGGAAGTGGTCTTCAGGAATGGTTCTCTTGGTTAGTCTCTAGAATTGACTTACTTTCTTTGTATATAGTTTTGATGGACGATGTTATGAATTAATTATATATTCAGTAAATTTTACTCCTCATTTTCATTTTTGTCACCGACTTATGTTTTATTAATATAAAAGTGTTTTTGGTGACAGTGTATTAGAGAACATATTAATTGTTTATATATTTTATCCATCAATATATCTTCGTGCAATAAGCACAACATTAATAGTTAATATAAAAGGTAATAATATAAAAGTCATGAATCATTGCTATCGTTTATTGATTTAAAATACAAAACTTAGTGACATAAAGCTCTATCCTTTTATTGTTACAGTGCCTGCGAACTGACAATTCGATAGGAAATAAACATTTAGCTTTCTCACATTTCCAAACATTCCATACATTCCTTATAATGTCACAGTACAAATAAATAGTATAGTATATTACATACTCAAGCGCAAACATCTAGGGCCGCGGCCATGCTCGAGTAAAGTATCCGGTATGTTATAATATACGTTGGTGTTAACAGTAGGTAATGTGAGGCTCGTTTATGTAAAATATTATTTGGCAGGTTCCCGATGTGAGCTCTCAGTCCCGCCAAAGAACTGGCTCACAGAATCACCAACACTAAAAACCACATCTAAAATGACAGATCCACAATATATATATTATTACAAATCATTAGAGTTTACATTTCACGCGTCAGTCTGGTTTATGGAACAGTGTTGTACAAAACAATTTTTTTTATATTATTTCATTAATGTTTTCATTAGTCACGTTTGTTTATTTATTGCGTTTCGTCTTAGTTATATTCCTTAATTAAAACAAATCCCAAAATAAGTTATTTATTTTCATTACAAGAAAAAGTTTATTCTATATAAAAAGTACAATGAAGGAAACATCGAGAAACGGTTCGGTTCGGAAACCCGCCTCTATAATTTGTCACTTCCCTATAATCAAACAAAACGTGTTTCCCATACCTATTTCTTATATAACTAACAATTCTATAACCTCATGAAGCAAAAAAGTATTTATACAGTAAATATTATACAGATATTAGAAAAATTTATATTTCAGAACCAGAGAGATTAGAAATAGATTCAAATCTACAATTAAATTATAATGGACAAAAAACAGTCATAGCGCTTACCGAGCTAAGAAAAAACAATTATTAGAATACTTTCATGCTTCATGTACGATAATATGTAGTTGTACCATACAAACTTGTTATTTAAAATAATTTTTGGGGGTAAAGGGAGGGGGTTGGGGTGTCGGGTAGTTTATTTTATAAAAAAATCACGGCAACATTCTGCAGCACAAAAAAAATCTGCTTCCAGTTGCAATGTCATAACCAGCGGCCGGACCCTGAAGCGATAAACAGTCGACCCACCGACTGTACACAATTGAAAAAAATATAATTTGCTAAATCACATCGATTCAGGGCCAGCCGCACCTACTAAGGCCCGCTACTCACCCGTAGGACGTCCGTGACTTCATATATATATAATATATATATTTATTCGACTAAGGTACTGTGTCTATAACAGAGTATAAAAAAGCTACCCATCATTAGACCCTAAAACTATATTAGGGTACATTTTTTTTATTATTTGAAAATTTACACGTGTCGATATTTAATTGCCATACAAGCAACGTCTAATATACAACCTCTTAGCCATTTTATTACATACACTTATAGACACTATATAGATCCAGTTCCGTTTTGTACCCACGAGTCCCAGCATTCTTATAACAATACAGTATATAATAATAATATAATACAAAACAATATGTGCAATACATTTGTACTACATGGTACGAGTCACAGTCCACAACGAGTCAGTAGCGGACCCCACTCATAAATTTCCGGCACAATAAGGCAGTGATTCAGTGTATGCTATACAAAATATCTCCATTACAAAGTTACGACCAGTCTGCTGCAATGAGGTTAGTCTATTGTAGATTCAAATCCAAAAAAGGTTCAAGTCATTTTAATTTATTTAACTCCTATCTGAAATACCCAAATTTTTTTTTATATATGTCTCAACAATCCCGTAACCTACAAGTACATTTTGTGTTTTTTTTTATTATTATTTTTATAGTATTACCTACACACTATTCTTTGTTTTACACATCGTCTTGAATATTCCAATGGGTCAAAAATAACCTATATTTATAACACAGTACACGTGTCCCGATTTACAGATCTCAAATCTCATGCATTTGAGTTCGGAAATAATACATTTACAATATACAAACAACAACTCTGAAATGCGAGGGCAAAGTTACAAAATGATTTCAATGTAAGGAGGAATCCGATCAAGTGGTGCAGTCAAAAAATACTTTCATTGTTTTTAATCTATTTATTTATTTTTTTTTTAAATTATTATTCGGTTGTATCAAATAACGAAATTCTGTTTTGGCCCTTTGATATTCAGTCATCAGTTGCCGACACTTCAAAAATATAAAGCTTGCGATAATTAACCGAAATGAAGCTTAACTAGCATAGTAGTAATCTAAACTAATATATAATAACCGGTTTAAATCGCAGTCTGTATCCATTATAAGTGGCTCACCTATATATGTACAATATTTATTTTCTACCATATTGCGTCCTTGATATGCATTGCGTAACAATAAAAAAACCTAGCTTTCACGACATCGTTGCGTCCGGATGTTCGGCGGAACCGGAAACAGGCGGCTCCATCTAACAATAAGTACGGTCGATAGAAGCGGTACGAACGAACCAATGATACACTGACTGATACAACATAACACATCCCCGCGCAGAACACTCAGACTTATCGCGTTAAATAAAAAATACACGGTCATAAATATGGTCACCGTCCCGGCACTCGCGTCACGTCACGTCACGTCGCGTCACGCCGCGTCACGTCACGTCACGCCGCGTCACGCCGCGTCAGTGTATGGCGACGGGGCTGTGAGCCAGCGAGCAGACCGCCAGCACGTCTTCGTCCCTTCGCGCCTCGACCTCCATACGCTCGGCACCTCCCCACAGCCGCGCACCCGCTGTCACACACACAAACAATACACATATACATATATATACATACTATAATAATATTCATTGAAATTCTAAAGAGCGACATCTGTTACCTTTTAATATTATAATATTCTTACTATTTGTCAATACTTTAATTCTTAATAATAAAAAAAACAATAAATTTGAAATTCCCTTCCATTTGCCTTGAGCGGAGACCGCATTTACAGCATAGTATGCAAAATATATAAAAAATAAAACATGATTATCTATGTTTGAAGCAATTCCTAATTTTCTTAAATATGCTCATATTATGAATGAAGCAAGCGGTGATACAAAAACAATAACATTCGTATAAATGAAAGCCATGCAAAACAGATGATACAATATTTAAAATGCATGTAATGCAACAACACCTATAGCAATGTAATAAAAAAAAGTTATTGAAATTGTAAAATATAACATGTAAATGATAAATTAAACATAAAATTTGTATTGGGAATATTTTAACATAATATTTGAAGACAATACATTAAAAGCTAAACAAAAACATAGACAAAGCAGGCAAGCAGTGACAGATGGCACAGTAATGTAATGATAATGTGTGATTACTTAAATAAAATTATGAAATAGGAATAAAAGCAAGTGTAGGAAAATGTGCATAACAAAAAATCTCCAATAGAATCCATTCAAAATTTGTCAATTAGGAAAGTCACTGGCAATTCATCTATTCTATTGGATGATTTTTGTCTCACAACGTCATACATTAATGGAAACACAAGCCTATAGAGTAAAAATTTATTGAATATATAAGTAACAATATTATTTTTTTATAAACATATTAGTATTGTATAGTGAAAAGATACTACCCATTTCACATATGAATATAATTGTTACAAGAAAAGAGCAAGTGATAAGCGAATAAGGATTTAAAATGTAGGAGGGATAGGTAATATGGCATGTCAGGAATCATATGTTTATATATAATGTAAGCAAATATAATGCAAACACAAGCAAAATGTCACTAATGGTTTTGGATTGAATGTTAACCGCGTGGTGGGGATAAGGAGTGGGGGTAGATATATATAATGTCCGACCTGCTCGGCGGAGCGCTAGTGTGTGGGGGGCGAGCCGGCGGGCCGCACTAGTCATCGTGACTCCGGCGCATCTGTATGTACATGCGGTTAGTTAGACATGTACACTTGTGTTACCTTGACTGATATAACTTTATATACTATATAAACATATCTATAATTCTTGATGTGTGACTTTTTGAGCTATTAAGAGATAATGAATATTGATTTTAAATATTAAATCAAAGTAACACAATATACTAAATTGAAAATTATTCATTGATAAAGAACCTTTTCGTTAATAAGCTCCTTATACTATTTGCGCTGTAGCTTGGTGCGGGTGACATTTGTCAGTACCATATGACCAGTTATGTGCGTAATTCATTTTTATCGCTAACGATACTCGCAGTATAAATAATATAGTACTTATATAAAATAATTAAAATCGGGTTAATGATTTTTTTTCGTAACAACATTTTTGCTCAATTTCAACAGATGATGAATTTAATGACAATTCAGATGTTCCTGGTTCTGATATGAGTTTAGACGAATAAAATAATTTTTATATAAGATCTGTTGTTTCATTAGTATAATTATAGACTTCTTACAATAATAATTAAACTACAGCCAATATATGTATATATTTTTATTATAAAAAAAACATCGACTATCCATTGTAACAGTACATCTCATCACTAAATACGTCTATGGCATTACGTTAAACGCATAATACTTTGCTTAATTTTTCTTTCCATTAGATTATATTTGTACACTAGAACATGCTGGTTTGGTTTAATTTAAACTACTTCAGTAATTAATGATTTAATTTATTACGAATGTGGTACAGCTGAAATACTAAGTCATAATTTGTAAATCGCGGCAACTTTCAAGAGTGAAACGACACGTTACTGAAACTGTCACCCGCACCATGCTACAGCGCAAATAGTATAGAGTTCTTTTAACTTCTTATTTTACAGTCAAAGGTTACAGCATATACACATTTATTTAAGGATTATTTAAAACTGTTATTGTAACGCCATAGTTATTAGTAATATCGGGGGAGGGGGGAGTATAATAGCTATTAGTAAGATGGTATGATGATAGCGTCATGTGTTAGCGGGAACACGACATAAGCTCAAAATGATAATTTTCGACAATGTACACAAATCAAAAACATCTTAATAACCAAAGACACCAATTAAAATGACAATAAAAGCTACATATGATTAATGGCGTGCTTCAAATAAATTCAAAGAAACATGTTTTACACATATTAATATATTACATTTAATTAATTTTATATATCAATTTGGCTCAGCACTTTAATACCTTAACTCATTAGCATATCTGAAACTGTAAGCTTTAAAAATATGTGTGTAGGGATTCTAACATATGATTTTTAATCCTACCCAAAAATGTGTTTTCACAATCCTTGATCCCCTATTGATTTAATGGTTATTTATTACATGACACCAAGATATAGGTTATTTTCCAGGACAACATTTTGTCTTTCTGAACAGATGAAATAATACTCAAATTGATAGCATATAAAGAAACATGTCCCAAATAGAAAAGTCATGAATCACTATTATAAATAAATTCTCATCTGCAACTATGTCCTTATTTTGCTAGTAAAATATATGTAATCCAAATACAATAATGCCCATCGCTACAATTTAATCTATAATTAAATACATTTATTGTATCACTGCACAGTTATCAATGAAAATTTAAAGTCTATCATTGAGTCATGTTTGCAGTACTGAAACAATGGTGTAAGACTATCCTATTTTTTGTTTATATAGTCTACTATCTCTATCTCTTTTCGTCTCCCTTTATATCTCTATCTCTTTCTCTCTCCCTTTCTCTATCTCTGTCTCTCTCTCTCACTCTTCAAAGTAATTTACCGTGCTGGTGATGCTGCGCCTGCTGCGTGTTAGTCGCCTCGTCAGCTGTTCGCTTGAAGAAGTTGTGCTGCAGCGCGTAGTACGGCGTCACACGTTGTTTTGGATCGTACTCCAACATGCGGAGGATTAGGTCCTGGAAATATAATATATGGAATTGTGTCTTAAGGTCGAATTATTATTAGTGGACGTTTTGAGAGTGAGCAATGATTGTCTTAAGTATGTTGACAGAAGATTATATTGTCATTGAACTAAGGCACTATTTTTCTTCTTCTTCTACCTAGCAATTTCCCAGCTTTAGCCAGAGTCTGCCTAACATGATGTGAATAATTTTTGGCTAATTGTTTTTACTACCGGCCGCCTGCCTGACATCAACCCTCTTTTGAGAATAAGGTACTATTTTTATTTAACTCAAAATATACAACATTGTTTTATTGCATACTTCAAAGCCTATTAATAGCAAATAAGTAAAAACCTCCTTCAGTTTATAATAAAACCCAAACAGGTCTCAATCTGTACTATATTCACATGTTATTATCTATGTAACAGTATATTAGCATCACCATGTTAGTTATTCGAGTATTAAATTATTCTAGACTATACACTCTAACAGTTCTTTTCTCTTCTCGATTATTCTTTGCCAAGACAATGAAATGGTCATATCAATAATGACATTAAACAATTACAACTCTTGTTTATATTACAACCATCGACATACACTAATGGACATGCCGTACGCGTATAATCTGCAGTAATTTTTCGGTTTCAAAAGAATGAGAGAGATGGCCTATGCTTTCCGTACTATTTTGAGACAGACAAAGTTAGACAGAAACTACATTTCCTCTCTTTCTTTCAGAGTGCCAAAATTCTCATCTCTAAGGTATGTCTATTAGAATATGTCGATGATTTCAACTAAGTATCTCTATCTATCTCCCATCTCTATCTCTATATATCTCCCATATCTCATCCCTGTATATCTCATCTCTATATATCTCACCTTAAACTTGAGGTAGTCTGATACAGAGTGTCCCGGCTCCCCCCTCCTCCGGGCCGCGGGTCCTCCCCCCTCCACGCCGAGTATGTCGTGAAGACGTCTCGTGCCGGCCGGGCGATACTTACGATAACCGCTGTTGGAAAACATATATATATATTAATATATAAATTTTAACATAAATACATATATGAGCATAGAAATATAACACGTCCAGTGTAGGATCGTTATTTATTATGGTTATGTAGCAAGTATAACGTTATTTACAATAAGAAAATGTTACTGAATTTTGAATAACAACCGTTTGTGACAAAAATCACTAGAATGAAAATTGTCCTTGAGACGGCAGACTGGGAATATTGCTTCAAGGATTTTTGAAGCAATATTCCCAGTTTCTTTCCTTGTACAATATACAGAAAGAATATTACTGTAGTGATTTCAAACTTTAAATTTTAGAAACAGTAAATAACATTTGGTACAAGCTTGTAATTCTTATATGAAAATCATAATATACAAAACCATCTCATAATTGATTCCTATCCACATGCTTTTATTTTATTTTATTTACTCTTTAATGTACACCAATATAGACAGAAATAACAAGAGAAAAACAAAGAAAGGAAAAAGTACAAATAGGCGGCCTTATCGCTAAAACAGCGATCTCTTCCAGGCAACCTTTAAAAAAGTGTTTCACCTAATCTTATTTTTGTACATGTATTTATTATACCTCATAAAATATAAAAAAAATTTTCACGTAATCGACACGTACAGACAGACGTACATGTATGAATATAAAATTAATATAACTCACCCATCCTTGCCAGCAACTTTCTTAAGGACATAGCCGCCCCCCTCTGAAGGCGGTAATTGGTCGAAGAACTTTCTTGTCTTGTGAGCCTGAAAGAATAACAAACTCGTGAAGACAAACAACTCAGGGACGAGTTAATACAATAAGAATACGTTTCATAAAATTCATAAAACAAGTCTTGGTTGTGATTGCATAAAGTCGATTCTGTGAAAGGTGGAGGTGGCAGTTTAAAGCAATTTCATCATTACAACAGTTCTAGAGTGTTTGAAAAGTTGTCTCATTTCCAATTAACAATAGAAGTGGGTCGCTGTGTAGTTACACAATTAAACGCTGCTACATATTGTTCAAAGTTAGACAATTATAACAAGTTAAGAGTGCCGCCGTCTTCATCTGGATCCAACAATTTTCGATACCGTTATAAATTATAGACGCTGTTGCAATTATTATGTTAGCGTCTGTCTTCAATTAAAACGACAAAGTCTAGCGTACACTCAACACATACATGGTACAATATATTAACTTCATATAAATGCAATTAGTAACTGTGATATATTAGGGAATAAGTTAAGGAAACGCAGCTCAAAACTAAACTTATTGCTTAATTAAGAGGAACGGAAATATTTTAAGTTATCTCTAATGTATTGATAACTTCACTTTGCACTTTATCATTTTTAGTAAACAACTAAACAAATGATATAGTATAACATTCAAAAAAAATTATGAGATCTAAGATTTTCGCGAGTGACATTTAAATGAAACTAATATTTTCGGATTTCACTTCGCGTATTTATTTTTGATTATAAACTACATGCTCCCGACGTTTCGGCTACTTTTCAACAACCGTGATCACGGTTGCTGAAAATCCGAAAATATTAGTTTCATTCAAAAAGATTCATTAGCAGCTTTAGCAAAAAAAACTATGAGGTCTCAATAAATTCTAGATTTAAAACATGTTCAATAACCACAAAATCTAGAGGTCAAACAAATCATTCCATTAATCTATCAACCATTCTAAGTTGAGCCCTGACGGTGAACGCTTTGGATTGTCTTGTACAAAGCTTGCATTGAGTACGTGCGTACGTGCAAATTCTGGGTTCAAACCTCATCAGAGTAAGAAAAAAATTTTGTCGCGAATCAAGCACTCGAAATACCGTGGCGTGGAAGAGGAACACCCGTGGGTTTTAGTGGGTCTAAACCCCACATAACCCGGTCAAGTCCCCGCTCGGCCGGGTATCTGTGAGCAGATTTCCCCTGGGAAAACAAAAAAAAGTTGAGCCCTGACGATGTCCCACTCACCTGATCCAGGAGCTGGTCTGGAGGCATCCCTAGTACTTCGACGATCTTGTTCATCTGGTCGAGCTCGTTGGCACCACTGAACAGTGGCTCGCCCGTGTGCATCTCAACCAGTATACAACCCAGTGACCACATGTCTATAGCCAGGTCGTATGGTATACCGAGTAATACCTCCGGGGAACGGTAGAAACGTGACTGAATGTACTGGTATATCTGGAATATATATCGGAAAATTTGAATCATACTCATACATATATAAAATGTGTATTAGATATTAAATATGGAATACGAAATATATAAAGTTTATGATAAAAGCGTTTACTATTGCATGTTTCACTAGCAGTAAAATAAACAGTTAAAATACCGTATTCTTACGAAACAGTCACGAAAAAAATCCGAAAAAAACTCTAAATATATCATTAACTGAGTTTGAAATTGATAGCAAATAATTATATATTTATTATATATAACAATAACAATATTGAATTGTCGCTAGAGATTCGGAGACGGGGAAAACCGTAGCAACAAAGTACAGACCACATTTAAATTAATTAGTTCATATATAATATATGGAGTTATCGGATGCTATGGCGTGAGTTTTGTGTTTTCCTGTGTACGTTTCAATAACATTAATGGTACATTAATATATATATTTACGCGCAATTGAAGATAACCTTCGACCGTCACTGAATCGTAAGATTTATAACAATAATTAGTGATGTTTTGTTACGGGAACATCACTATCTGTACTATTATCGTATTACGTTAACATTCATCAATAAAGAAATACTAATATATATTTAATCTTCTTTTAAGCTATGTTAGTATAAAAACTTTTTTTGTTCAACCAAAAAAAATTATCGGTTCTATCAAAAATACGATTATTTTAATTATACGAATAAAATAATGACTGCCATCTCAAAACTTTGATATGACCTTGAACGAATTCAGTGACAAAGCTTTACATCTAATAAATCACTTGACATACATAAACATTTATATAAATTGATTTTTAAAATTATAATAAGACAAAAGTGAATAAAACAGGAAATTATGCAATAATAAAATAAAATACATCATTTTATAAGTTCTAGTGAAATGTTGACTTAACTGTTAGTTTTTTTTGTTTTATATTATTTATACATTTATATATATATAAGTAATATATGTACTATATATTATATCAAAGGAGTTTGTACAAGTAAATATCATATGTTGGAGCTTACCCGTTGACCTAGTTGACACGAACTACCAAAGTCCACAATTTTGATGGCCGATCTCTTCGGATTGCATAATAATATATTCTCAGGCTTAAGATCACAGTGAATTATATTAAGTTCTGAAATAGATGTGAAATGGATTAATTAAAAAACACATATAAAAATCTGTAGTAACAGTTGATACGTAAATATTATAATATGAATGTCATTACATATAAACTATTCAAAGGGTGGAATACAAATCATTTGTCGATAGTATCGGTGCGGCGCCGAGTATTGAACTAATGTGGGGGGTTAGGTTTTGTAAATATTAGTTAAATACATTCGTTTGGGATCGCCGCTGCGGCTTTAATGTGACTTGTAGTTTTTTAATACGTTTTAATTACTGACCGATTCGAACAGGATACTATAGAGAAATGCATTAGTCGTTGTTGTCAAGTTTAACTAAAGATTCGTTAAGATTTTAGGTCTGACTAAATATGTATAAATGAAATATTGTGTTAGAATTTAGTTTCAAATGATTCGTATTATAATATTAATATCAAAATTTGTGAAAGAGATCTGAGGAAGTTTTGAATACACGCAACTTAGTCCATACATATATTTAAATGGAACATTTAAACATTAAGGATCTCAACATATTAATTATCGACATAAAAACATATGAAAGTCATATTTTATTTTCGTTTAAAGGAAATTTAAAAATACAATTGTCTTTATTTCCAGCATCAGATGTTTTAAACTATTTTTGACAGTACTAGTCTCTGTAGACCAATATGGGGTAAACGACTTCCTTAATCTTTAACACAATAGTAGATACAGAAGAGCATACATGTCTATTGAGACTACTAACCGTTCTTTTCGTGATTACGATACAATATAGCGGCTAACGTTTATATTATTATTATTATTGAAATAAATATAATATACGTCACAAGATATTACACGTCCTTATAGTCAGCGTGCGTTAGGATCCCTAATAATATTATAAATGAGAAATTAACTCTGTCTGTCTCTCTGTTACGCTTTCACGCCTAAACCACTGGACTGATTTTAATGAAATTTGGTACAGAGATAGAGTTGACCTTCAGAAAGAACATAGGATAGTTTTTATCCCAGCCTTTTGAAAAGTTCTCTTGGAAACGCGATATAACCGAACTCCACGCAGGCGAAGCTGCGGGCAGAAAGCTAGTTATGATATAACGTAATTTTACTATTTATTTGAATCTCAAACCAACGTTCGTAAGTATGTTCATGTGTCAGGGATTTAACAAAAACTATCAATATTATTTGGAAGGAATTTAAGTAAAACAGTAAGACAATCTCGTATCTAAGGTATTAAGGTGTTTCCAATTAATCAACAATTGTCTGTCTGTATGTAGTGTAATGAGTATATCTGTAACTTCTTGTACTCACCAGGTTGACTAAGGAACAGCAGGGCTGTACACAGCTGCTGTGCGAACTTCCTCGTCAGGTTCAACGACACACCCCTGAAGTTCGTATTACGCAACAGATCGTACAGATTGTACGACAACAGCTCGAACACTAGGCACAAGTGATTCCGCCACATAAAGTGACGCTTCAGTTTTACTGTGGAATTAATAACATCGTTATATAAAAGTGTCTAATAGTCATTTATATTGAATTTATTTATAATATTCAACATTTGTACTTCTTAACTGTATTATAACCGTTAGTCATATCATTAATTTATATGTATACATATAATGTAAGTATGCTACAAGTATTCTCACCTATATAATACTTATTTTCGGCATCCGCCCTATTCATCATTTCTAGTAACTTGACTTCTATTTGTGCCTGGTTTAGGAAAGGTTTCTTATTCTTAATAATTTTTATCGCTACTTGACACTGCTCCTCGTGGTCGTACGCTTTCACAACCTGCAATAAATTTTATAATAATGCTGTTCAGACACCATTCATAACTACTATGAATAAATGACAAACTCAAATCTCTATAGAAATAAATCCAGTAGTGGCTCAAAAATAGTTCATATTAAATAAATTCTCGTATAAATGTAGGTGCCATGAATATTGTTGATATAATTAGTTAGAAGTAATAGGATGAATAATGGTTGTGCTTATGTTTACAATACTTTTACCATAAAGACATCTCAATCGAGTAAGTGACAGTAAATTTACACATTAATATACTTTCCCATGTATATAATGCGATCTATGTGTGTATATAATAGATCCACGTGGCTAAGTTATCTCACCTGACCAAAGGATCCCTTGCCTATCGGAGATGAGATCTCATATCTGTCTAGGAACTTCTCTCCCTGTTTGATGATATAGTCGTGGTTATCGTCATCGTACCCGTCGTTGTAGAGCTTCCTTTCCTTTTTGTGTGAACCGTCATCACCCAAGTACTGTTGCGCTCTCCGCTTCTTTTTGGCGTAATATACCTGTTATCATAAAAGAAAAATCGCAATGTAAATGTATTTTAAGATTTCCAGAGCAATGTTTGAGTAATACGTCCTTATATTTTGTAAACTATTTTAATAATCCCGCTGGTAAAGTAACTTCACGATGAAAGAAAACTTATGTGCAACTTTAAAACTTGCCAGAGGCAGCTAAACATATTTACAACAAGAAAATTATATTTTTCAAAGATATTCCGCGGGCACATGCTCCTCCGATATTACGCTAAACCCCGGACAAACTAGGAAGTATATTGTAAAATTGTGCATAATATATGAAGACGACGGATTATAAAAATAATGTTAGCAAGATGTTTGACTCGCTCTTCATATAACTAATACTTTGTTTTTATAACACTTACGGCATACATTAAAATAAACTTTTACATCTATTTAACTGTACAAGGGGTGTATCCCTGAAAACGGAATTCAACAGAAAAGTATCTGATGATAATTTTTTTTATAGAGAGTACAGAAATTGGTCAGTAAACGCAAATAACTTTTATTATTCATATATATGATATGGATGAGAATAACAAAATTATATTCAAAAAATGTCAAGACAGAGTTTGAGAATGCCGGCTGATAATTTAAACTGAGGATCGTTTTCTCTCAAGGTAGTGCATTTCATAGCTTTACAGCTCGCACGGTGAAAGAGTCACTGTAACACTTTATGTGGCACAAAGGGACCTCGTCTAACTTATGAGGTTTACAACGAAGATTCGTAACAAGAATAAAATTAGTGTAAAGAAAATATATGTTGCTAGGTAATGGATATGGTGCGGCTAAAGAGGCTAAAAAAGGTCTGTAATGAAATATATAGTGATATCATGAATAGAAAATCAATGTGAACAAAAACTTAAAACGCTAGTTCATACTCTAGGTGTGGACATAGTAAAGCAATATATATTAATATACCGTGTTTGGTATGAATGTTGATTTATTGTTTCCCAGTTTTTATTTATTTTAATTCCTTTTAAATGACAGTGTCGTGGTGTCTTGACATTCTTGCTTTGTCAACAATTTACTTTTATTTTAAATAGTGACATTATTATTGTCATCTAAAATGCCGTGAAGAATTTAATGAAAAGGAACATGTAACAAACATATTTTCCATCATAAAAGTAGATCGATAACAAAATTCCGGCAATTATAGCTGGTTTGTATAATCAAAAATAAAAAGTATTCATGTTATGGGAAATGAAGAGGCGAAGAGCGCGGGAATTTGGGCGGACGTTGACCTAAATATGCGGTTGACATTGATCGACGATGTTCAATACGCAATATAAAACATTCATGCAACGGTTAACGCATGAAATCGGGACTAGGCAGTTCATTGCTACCGGTTTTTTTTGTGGCACCGTCTCGTCTAGTCGAAATTATAATAACTCATTGCATTCATACATATTATTATTAGAACTTTTTGTTAAGTTTAGAAGACTTTCTAGCGTTATTGGATACTGTTATTTAATATATCCGGACCGCAAACTATATATAACCAACCACATCTGATAGTCACCACTGTTACGTAAGTTACAGAGGGAAGGCTCTAATAATTTTGGATTCTGCATACCATTCGCTGCGTGGCGGAAGTGTCGCATATCGACGCGGCCAAACGATAACCCAAATTTCTGACTGCGACCTACATACCCAATACAGTGCATATTTTACTGGCGACCGAGAGGTCTGACAACGGTAAGAGACACGGCTACCTATCTATAAGCGTGTAAACTGATGTTACGCTAATTTGTCAGAGTATAGTTTCTGAGTCCTGTAAAGACAACTCTTTAGAGATGACTTATTTGTGTATGGACGGTATTAGAGATTAGAAGAATCGCATTGATTTCGATAAGGTCAGTATGTGAGGGGAGAGTTTTGAGGGACAGACGGTCAGGGTATCGTTTGGTCTTCATCAATCACCAGGTTTGGAACGGTAGCGACTTGTGTCGGTAGTGTTAGTTGGTGGCGAGCAGGCCAGTGACCGCCGCACGTGGCGAGATGAGCGCGTCGGGCCGGGGAGAGGGCGCGCGGCGGCTGTCATTGATTTTCCCCGTCCTCCCCCTCCCGCCCCGCCGCTCCCCGGCCGAGGCTGGCTTTCCCTCCCCCCCTCCCAGCCCCCGCCGCGTCTCACCCACTTCCAGCGCCCGATAACGAGGTTAACGGGCGACGTGAGCGTCTCCTAAACTTTAATTATACCCGTACAGCCGTCGTGCATGTTTAACCCGACCTCTATTCAGCGTTTTGTTTGCAGCGCACCTGATAGCACCGAGTGATCCTCTTATTCGATAGAAGGATAACTATATATAATAAACGATGCCGGATGTGGCGACGTATCCAACAACATATATAGCGGCCCAAGTTGTCGTCCGGGACACGGAGTTCATTTCGAATCTGCTAACTACATAGCGACGTAACCGTTCGACTATGTAAACTTTGTGAATTTATTATAAACACTCGCCATTGAAAGCTCGCGCGCACTCTTTAAGTTATAACGAGGAGGAATACTAATTTATAAATATGAGCTCCAAAGATTAAATTGACAGTAAACAAACTCACAAAATCGTAACAGAAATTTCAAATAGGTACATAAAACAGGTTTTAATAATGAGCATTTTGATTTGTGCATTCATCAATCAATCACGGACGTATTACAATATCGTTGGCTGTAAATTATTGGTATTTATCAGTTATGTAACGTGAATTCGGTCAATTCCTTACATCCGACCGACATGCGATGCCAAATAGCTATAGAGTGCCGGTGGATGGTGCACTCAAAGACGTTGCGTAGCTGGTCAAGATGGTATTATTGATGAACGTGTTCATTATAGTATATATTATACTAAGAAATTATAGATTTATTGTTCTTAAAACATTTCCAAAAATATATCACGATTATGTCATGACATGTTCGGATCGAGAGTGATATATAAAAATGTATTTTTATATTGTTTGTTCAGTACAAACGACATTAACATTTCTTAGCTACAATGTCAATTGAAAGAATGACGAAAATATGCACATTCACATATATTTTTAAACATGTCTCACGCTCAGCTGAGGTCACGCGGTCTTGTATTTATTTTTTCGATTGCGATAAAAAATGAAACGATCACAAATGCACTTAATAACTATTTTCATTATCACAGAGCTACAGAATAAAATGTAAAATAATAATTGATTTAGTTTTGACACTTTATAAAATTGACACAATAAAAGCGTATGGGAATCCCTTAATACTTTTATGCGATGATACAAAAGTAACAAGTTTATAAGCTTAATGAACTATACTAAAAGTTTTCTTTAAAAGAAATGAGGACGAAATAAACGAGACGAATCATTAAATTCATCTAATCTTGAAGTTTTATAATTTCAATTCTATAGAATAAGATTGGAGTAGACTTCAATGCACTTTAATATACATTTTTTTATTAATATAGCTTTCATCTCGGTCATGTTTATAACAATCATTAAGTTTTCCTGTTCGTGTCAAGTTCTTTCTCTTTATCTTTCTTGGCAATAGTTAGTTCTACCGAATTTTTAATTGTTCGACAAATCTTAAGACGGCTATGACAAATATTTTTAAAAACAGTAGCAATTTAAATACCAATTAGAATTATTTTCATAATCAATATTTTTACACATATATTTTAATTTTTAAGTCTTACTGATATTTTAGTTAAGGATTAGTAACAAATTGCCGTTGGATTTTAGTCAGGGCTTTACACATTGCCCCTTGCTGTAAAAGCTATTCTATGTTCTCCAAAATCCAGACAACGTAAAGTTGTGAAAACTTTTTAGAAATATATAAACTCCGTTCTAAAACTCATATACTTATAGCGCGCAAGATATTATTCTATTCTATGTAGTAAAGAATTTGTGACGATTACTATAATAATAATTTTTACTTGCAAATTATAATGATTAAATTAAATTATCGTCATATTATTTCGTTATATGATCGTAATATTTTACTAAGTCGTTTTAATAGTTTATTAAGGTACGAGGTGTCAATATAGAATAAACAGATGAAAGAGAAACGTTCCCATCCCACATCAATTTAATATGGTAACGTCCTCATGACTTCTGAGTGACATCATCACACTATGACGCAATGGTTACGTCATCAGATTGGCACAGCTTGCTATTAATGCTCCCCGCTCGCTTGTCTTTGTTTGTGTGCAGCTTTATTGAACATTATTCAATGTTTATTGAGTTTAATAAATATATATTTATTTTATGAAGTGCATGCAGTCATGCCTTTGAAAATATCGTTTAGCACATTCTTATTTCATTCATTTGATGCAATGAATAGAAAAACCCTATATGCATGTTCTCAGGTCACAGATGTATCGCTGTATAGTCAAACAAAGCCGTTTTGATTCATTACAAGTTGTTAACAATAGACTGTTAAAAACAATCTGTTAGGGAGCACAGTCTAGTTGCAGGAACCCCCAAAAAGTTAATACGATCAACACGCTAATTAATCTTTCATGGCAGTGTCGTTTTGCGTTAGTAAACTATCGTCGCGGCAGACATGCGATCCGTAGCTACGAGATCGTAGCTCGTAGCATCAATTAGAGCTCCGGAACTGCGCAAGTTTACATCATTAACACCATAAAAAGACAGTTATTGCGAGAAAATTCGCGCAATCAATTAGGAGTTTTAAGAGGGTCGGGGGGTTGGATGCGTGCAGAGTGCAGCGGCGACGGCGGCGAGTCAGGGGGAGGTGAGAGGGGGCTCGTCCGGGGGGGAAGCAGCGCGCGCATCTGTGTGCATTCGGCATATTTACCCCGATAGTGGGCGGGCGGGTTCACTGACCCGACCCAATGCAAGCCGTACGTAGGCCGCGACGCACACGCCGTTTCATTACTGCCACCGCACCGCACACCCATGCAAAAAGCTAACACTGAGCCTCAAGTGGGCACGCACGCTTTTTTAATCATCTGACTGATAACTTAGGGCTCAGATTAGTTCGCTAGTATTCG